CGGCCAATAAAGTTTTTGGAGAGGGCAATTGGAGTCATACTGTTGTCTATGTATGGAATCTATCTCGATATAGTTGCTTAACGCACACTCCAGGATAGAATGAACGGCGGCGAGCATTATGCGCAACTTACCGCGGCTCGTGTTTATCCTGTTCACCGGTACGGTGACTGCGATTTTCTGCATGCTGTTACTGTCCTCGGGTTTTCTTGCCGCCGACAAAAGGCCTTTCGCATCGCGGAAAGAACAGATGTCTATAAGAGAGGAAAAAGAAGAAAAAAAAGAAAATAGAAAATCCGTTGTTGCTCCTGCACTACTTAAGGCGCAACAGCAGTTCGCAATTTAAGGACGGTACATTTGGATGCGCACCTCCTGGGGAGAGGTTTCACCGACAAGCAGGTAAAATGTCGCATCACCTTGATATTCAGTCCTTTATCCTTTTCGGATAAAGGACTGAATATCAAGGTTCCTTTATCCTTTCCAAATTAATGTCGAATGTTTCGTCCTTATTTCAAATTACCTTATTTTAGATTAACGTTTATTATTTTTAACGAGAATAACGATCAATTTTTATTGTTTGAGGCTTTTTACCAAAGTTATATAGATATACTAAATTTGCTAATTGTAACTCGCATTACCACAAACTTTTGGGACATTATGTAAAAAAAGTACGTCATAAAGCACTATGGGGAATCTACGTTGATATAGAATAAAATTGCGCAAAAAGGATCGACAATGATGATATAAATTTTATTCGCCACGGAAATTTAAATAAAACGTGTGATTATTGCAGGAACGTGCATTTCGTCAACTGTTATTATACTTTCGAGATTGTTTCTGTGGACATTCGGTCGAACTCAAGGTTCACGTTTCCGTCCTAAGGCCTGTTCGTTTTAGGTGAACTTCTTGCACGGTTCGAAATTTTCTCTTTTTCTCTCTAACGTGAAAAAAAAGAGAGGAAAGACGAGCCGTGCAAGAAGTTCAGCTAAAACTAATAGGCCTCTAGAGGAAAAGTTACGTGACCGCGGATCCCTATGTATCTTTTTCCCTAGTGTGGAAACGTGAAAAGTGAAAAGTTTTATGTGACTATCTCTTTCTATTCAACACCAATAGAAAGAGGTAGTTACATGAAACTTTACACTTCTCACGTTTCCGTCCTTATAGAGGAAAAATTACGTGATTGACCACCTGCGTCATATTTACGTTCGATCCCGGCGACGATGGATGTCAAGTTACATGGATAAGCACATGGCAAATAAAAAAGAAGACATCTTGCTCGATTTCCTGAATCTTTATTCTTGGGAGGCTTTGCAGTAAGCGACACAAGTCGACACAAGTTTCGTTTTGTCTTTGTTGCTCACTGCCAAAAAAGAAAGATAGAACGACGTTTGTGTCGACTTGTGTCGCTTGCTGGAAAGCTCCCTCTGCTCATTGTAGTTAATCTCGAATGTTGGTCAGACGTGAAAAGTAAACTAAGGCGTAGAAAGTTCTTTGCGATAACGTCTTTTTTTATACATGTAGATTTGTTAATATATTCAGTTGCAAAATATAAATTATTGCGATTTTAAACATATGAGATGTTAGATATATTTTTCGTTTTTCATTTGCGCGTTTTAAAACATATTGAAATATATCATTTCGTGAAAACTTGTGGAATATTGAATGATTAGATAATAAAATTATAAATCGCCTTGTGTAGGGCAAAACTAAGGGACATATTCCTGAAAACATTAACATCACATTACGTGCTTTGCGCAGATATACAGAAAGCACAGAAAAGGTGCGTAAAGCAAGTAACGATATCGTTAACGTTTACAGCATAGGCTCGATCTTATAAGTATCTTAAGTCCATTTTTGCATATATAGACGAATTTTAATCTGAGTTTAACTTCCTTTTTATCTATTTCTAATTCAAAGCATCGACGATATTACGTCAAATATATTCCTCATTACATTACAACTGTTACAAACATCTAAAGAAGGTGCAATTGAACGCTATTGAATTTAATAAATGCGTGATCCAGATACATTAACGTAAAAGAATACAAAAGAATTAGTCAATCAAACGTTCTCATGTAAAGAATGCCATGGAGCCACGTTCTGTGCATATTGTAATATTTATATCATGGTTCAGCGTATTAAGGCAAGAGTAATCGATTTTTGTCTACAGGACTATTTCTTTCGAGCCTTCTGGTTTCAGGATGGCATTCTCTTTATCGAGATCTTTCAACCGCGATCGGTTGATTCGTTTTTGGCATGAATATTTGACGTGTATCGAAATCGTGTGTAATCTCACAGATCTTAGCTTTTGTGGTTTTTTAGCGTCAAATGGAAAAAAATCTATCTTTCGGCCACGCAAAGATAAAATGTAAAGATATGGATGTCTTCGCCCATCTAATAGATATATAAACGTCTAATAAACAACAAGTTCGCTGTAAAACAAGCCATGGCAAAGAATGCGCACAAGCTTGAGAAGGCAATACCCTGTTGTTCAGTAGTGGAACCACTGGAACCTCGTGATTTAATCTCATTGTCAGCAGAACGTCGCAATTTAATCTCAGCAGCCAATAAGGTTTTTGGAGAGGGAAAATGGAGTCATACTGTTGTCAAACAAACATTACGTATATTTGTCATTAGTTGAATAAATTCTCAGAAGTATGAATAGTCAAGCCTATAAAAATAAGCTCGCGAATTTGTTGCAGATTTCGACCATGTACATTCCACTGTTGGAATTGACGGGGAGAGACGATCTAAATACCGTTTTCGCTGCGTCAGTTATGTTAAGGTCCAGCTTGAGAATGGAGACTGTTACGAGGACGATGGTTCTTACATTGCAGAGGAATCTACAAAAAACTTGTCTACACAAAAAGTCAGAATTGTATGCGTCAGTCACTTGGAAAAAAAGCAATGTATTTTATACTTCGGTTAAATGATTGGGATTTTTTGTTTGTGCAGGGTTCTGTTGAAAATGCCTTAAAAAAAATTCTCTTGTCATTTGGAGACAAAATTGAAAGAGAGCTGGAACAGCTGCAAAGACAGATTAGTTTTGAACAAGGTAACTATATACAAAGATGTGGTACAGTTATTGGGTAAGCAGATTTCAGAAAAATTAAATGTTTCAATGAACACGTTCGATACCGCAGAATCGACGGATTTAGCAACAAATTTTGTTGATTTAATCTCAGCGGCCAATAAAGTTTTTGGAGAGGGAAAATGGAATCATACTGTGGTCAGCCAAACTCTAAGTAAATTTATCATTATCTGAAATTCTCATAAGTGTTAATAGGTCTATAAAAATAAGCTCGCGTATTTATTATAGATTTCGATGCTTGTTTTGATGTTGACATAAGAATCGGTGCTCCAAATGTATATCGTGCTGGCTGCGTCAGTTTTGTTAAGATCCAGCTTGAGAACGGAAACTTTCACGAGGATGTTGGTTATTACAACGCAGAAGAATTTACAAAAGGCTTGTCAATACAAAATGCCAGAATTGTATGCGTCTCTCATTTGAGAAGAATAAGCAAAGTGTATTTTATATTTGAGTTGAATAATTAAGCATTTTTGTTTGCGCAGGGTTCTGCTGTAAATGCCTTAAAAAGAGTTCTCCTGTCGTTTGGAGACAAAGTAGAAAGAGAGCTGCAACAGCTACGAAGACAGATTAGTTCTGAACAAGGTAACTATATACAAAGATGTGGTACAGTTATTGGGTAAAACAGATTTCAGAAAAATTAAATGTTTCAATGAACACGTTCGATACCGCAGAATCGACGAATTTAGCAACGAATTTCCCTGATTTAATCTCAGCGGTCAATAAAGTTTTTGGAGAGGGCAAATGGAATCATACTGTAGTCAGCCAAACCTTAGGTACATCTGTCATTAGCTAAATAAAGCTATCATAAGTGTGAATAGTCAGATCTATAAAAATAAGCTTGCAAATTTATAGATTTCAAGGACAAGTATTACGGTACTTTAAATGCTCCATATGTATATCGTACTGGCTGCGTCAGTTTTGTTAAGGTCCAGCTTGAGAATGGAAACTTTCACGAGGATATTGGTTATTACAACGCAGAGGAATTTACACAAGGCTTGTCGATACATAGTGCCAGAATTGTATGCGTCAGTCACTTGGAAAAAATAAACAGTGTGTTTTATATTTTGGTTGAACAATTAAGCATTTTTGTTTGCGTAGGGTTCTGCTGTAAACGCCTTAAAAAGAGTTCTCCTGTCGTTTGGAGACAAAGTGGAAAGAGAGCGGAAACTACGAAGACAGATTGGTTCTGAACAAGGTAACTATATACAAAGAGATGTGGTGCAGTCATTGGGTAAGCAGATTTCAGAAAAATTAAATGCTTCAGTTAACACGTTCGGTACCGCAGAACCGACGGATTTAGCAACGAATTTTCCTGATTTAATCTCAGCGGCCAATAAAGTTTTTGGAGAGGGCAAATGGAATCATACTGTAGTCAGCCAAACCTTAGGTACATCTGTCATTAGCTGAATAAATTCTCATAAGTGTTAATAGTCAGGTTTATAAAAATAAGCTCGTGAATTTTTTACAGAGTTCGATTATACAGAGATAAATTGCCGTGCTATAAATGCTTCACATGTATATCGTACTGGCTGCGTCAGTTTTGTTAAGGTCCAGCTTGAGAATGAAAACTTTCACGAGGATGTTGGTTATTTCAACGCAGAAGAAGCTATAAGAGGCTTGTCGATACATCGTGCCAGAATTGTATGCGTCAGAAAAAATAAACAGTGCATTTTATACTATGGCTGACCGATTAAGACATTTTTGTTTGCGCAGGGTTCTGCTGTAAATGGCTTAAAAAGAGTTCTCCTGTCGTTTGGAGAAAAAATTGAAATAGAGCTGCAACAGCTGCAAAGACAGGTTATTCTTAAACAAGTTAGCGACATTATAAGAGATGTGACACAGTGGTTGGGTAAGTAGACTTCAGAAAAATCGAATTTTGAGAGACGCGGTAGTGTCTTGTGCCAAATCTAAGCGCAGCGAGACACTGACTTTGTATCTATACGCAAGTTGAGTTGAGAGACTTTAGCGTCTCTATGTCAACGTCTCTATATGTTAACTGATATTAAAGGCTGATGGCAGCCATAGAGGAAACATTATGTGATCGACCCCCTGATTCCTTTCTTTCCTTCACTATGTTCCCTATCACTTTTCTGTTTTCCCTACATATATAGCCCTTTGTAGAAAAAGTATCTCGGATAACATATTTCTGTCCTTCGTTCTTGGCTTTAGCTTTCTAATGGGAATGCTTTATTATATAAGGAGCTTAACGAGAAAACGTATGCGAGAAAGCGAAAAACGATTTTAACATTTTAAAATTATGAAATGTTGAACAGCCTTTATTATTTACGTAAACATTTTTCTTATGGAAATTAACATCATTTATGTTGCAATGCATAATTATTATATATGTTGATGGAATGTATTAAAACAATTTTGTACAACAGTTTTTCAATGTATAATTGTTTTTTATACTGGCGTGTGCACTCGGTGACTTTTTACATTTTCTTAAAAAGTTAATTTTTTAATAACTTCAGTTAACACGGTTGCTACCACAGAACCGATGGATTTAATAGCGGAACTTCCTGATTTAATCTCAGTGGCCAATAAAGTTTTTGGTGAGGGTAACTGGCGTCATACTGTTGTCAAACAAACATTAGGTATATCTGTGTGATTAGCTGAATAAATTCTTATGAGTGTTAATAGTCAGATCTGTAAAAATAAGCTCGCGAATTTGTTACAGATTTCAACTATGAAGTTTTCAATGATGAAGGTTTCGATATATTTCACGATGAGATAAGTGCTCGAAATAAATACGTTGCTGGTTGCGTCAGTTACGTTAAGGTCCAGTTTAAGAATGAAAATTTTCACGTGGATGTTGGTTATTGCAGCACAAAGGAACCTACACGAGGCTTGGCAAAACTTAATGCCAAAATTGTATACGTCAATCACTTGAAAAAATATATAAACAGTGTATTTTATATTTTAATTGAACTATTGGGGCTTTTTGTTTGCGCAGGGTTCTGCTATAAATGCCTTGAAAAGAGTTCTTATGTCCTTTGGAGAACAATTTGAAAGAGAGCTGCAACATCTGCAGAGACAGATTAGTCCTGAACAAACTGACGACGTGCAAAGAGATGTGGCATAATCATTGGATAAGCAGATTTCAGAAAAATCAAATGTGTTTCAGGTAACACATTCGGTTCTGCAATGTGGTTGGGAAATCAATAATAACGGACGTTTTAAAGTATTTGATGTGAGGCATGTTAACGAGTATTTACCACTTCGATTTGTTTCTATCAATAAACTTGCTTTAAACGATAATTCAAATCTGTTAATTACAGTTTATAGGAAATAGGTACAGAAGTATGAGTCTATCCTGTGGACAATTTTCAAAAAAAGCTTTTCTTAAAATATTTTATGTTTAATTTTTCTCTTAATTGTTCAATTGTTCAATACTCTAGAAAAATCTGCCTTTTCTTTTAATAATTTTATATGATATATGTTTGTTTATACAATATAAATGAAGTGTGTTAAGCATATTTTAAAGAAATTGATTTTAAAGAAAACTTACTGTAATTCTAAATAGTTTTAAGAACTTAAAGAAATTACAAATTTTTGAAGATTGAGTTATTGCAGTTTTATTATAAATGTTGTCTATCTTTAAATCGTTCTCAGCTTCTCCGTTATAATGAAACTTTTAATGCATAAGCGATATTTGATTATATATAGGTAACTCTTAAATAACACGATTAATTGGTTTCGTGTTGTTGAAAATTGTGCAGTGTTCAAGACGCCAGATCTATATAAAATTGGGCATTTAGTTTTAAGGGATTATTTAAAAGAGACTTTAAAAAATAGCCTAACGTTATTACAAATTTTTAGTCCTATAAAAAGGACGTTAATTGAAGAGATAGTGTAAATAAATTATTTTTTACTTTGGTTGTTCGAGACGCGTGTAATTCAGGTATCGAACTATGTTATTCGTAGGTCACCTGTACCTACTTAGATCCTACCCTAGTATCCATCATGAACGATACAATTATTGTGACTAATCCATTGTCATCTGTAAAGGAGTTTAAAGATTTGTTGAGTCCTCGCCAAATAAAACAAATTTTATAAGTGAATAAAAGTCGAAACCAGGTAACAGTGAAAATTTGTTAGTCGTTATTAAATTATTCCTGCGCAAGAATGTGTTTTATTTTTAAAACCCTGACTGTCTTAATCCTCTGCAGTATTATCTAGAAATTCTAGAAGCGAAATGCTATGGAGAGAAAGAAGAAACGAATGGAAAAACAGATAGAATTTAGAAGGCGTATGATGAAAAAGGAGAGATTAATTAATATCCAACGGTGATAACAAGCCTAATCCTAGATATTAATCCTCCGTGTGCATATATATATATATATATATGTGTGGGTCTACGGCGTCGCCTATAACCAATATTATATATATCTGCTCGTAACTGTAAAGCTTGCCAGAAAATATTAAATAAACAATGGTTATCAAGATGACTATAAAGTCGTCAACTACGCAATGAAGATAGATGTTTTGAGAATTTTTTCAAATTTTTTAAAATACTTTAAGATAGGGAAAAATATACGCTTCGAACATGACAAACTAACGTATAACTGGGAAGGTACCGAAAAAACGTATGCACACGAAGGTTTGAGATATTGTAGGTTATAAATCTAGTATATATAATGCACAGAATTATCGTAGAAATGTCATTATGCACAAAAGTTGTCTCTTACAATTAGTGGGGCGATTTCTTCGATTTCATCAATCTGCAAGTATACGGGCCGATATCACAGTCTCCGATTAACGTGATCCTCCGATTAAACTCACTCTGCATCTCTTTCTAACTGTCCCCCTAGAAAGAGACGAAGAGTGAGTTTAATCGGAGGATCACGTACGTTAATCGGAGACTGTGATATTGGCCCTAAAACTGGAAAATCAGTTCTTTTTACAATAAAAATAAATTATTTATTTATTGAAAAAAACTTACAATAAAAAATTAAGATTTGCTGGCATGATCAAAGAGCGAACAGCTAGACGGCGAAAAACTGACGGCAAGATTATGCATGGTGTAATACGATGGTACCTAAATTGATAGCATAAATATTGAGCAAGAATTGCCATTACGTAGCTCGATATCACATAAAGGTAAATGACTTACCTCATTTATCTTTATTCCTATTTCATTTATTTTTAAATATGGTATATTTAAGAATATAATACTAGAATAGTTTACTGAACATTAAATTACGTGGATTTTCTTCAAGAAGAACGAGTTTATTGTTTAATGAGAATAAAGTCGAGGTCCAAAGAACTACATAAAATAAAGATAAATATCGATATATTAATAGTCTGAATGCCATAAACATCACAGTCGAAATCACGAAAGTATCTAATAGGTATAGCGTCAATTAAGTATCACTTCCATACACCTTATATCAACATTATCAAGAGATACAGTATATAGTGTCTCGCGCCAAGTACATGTGCAGCGCGAGACCGCCGTGGCTCTTTTACGCGAACGCACGAGTTGTAAGTACCCAGGATTTTGAGATCTTTATCATAACGCGCATTCGTCGGGATACCTAGACTGCATTCGAGGAGCGACGCAGTCCTCGCGGGATGAAAGCATAGCATACGTACGTTGATAGCTTCATAATCACACAATAATCACCAGGCGCAAGACACTCGATGTCGATGTCGCGCGGTGGAATGTATATGCCGTAAGATCATAATATTATGACAGATCCAATTAAACCGACCAATTAAATGTTACTAATGAAGAATAATTAGCTCTCAGTGAGATACCTACGCGAGACAGTGAAGTTCGCGGACCACGGAGCTCGAACTCTGTCTTCCAGCTCGCATCAGCAGAATTAAATAAATAATTAAACATCAATTTCAGTTAATATAATTAATTATACTAATATATTAATTACAATAATTTTTTTTCTACTCCTCTGTTCTCACACGCATAGTTCAGGTGATCGGTGAAAGTAATTATAATTAACATTATGTCTAAAACCTAATAAATCAGAACCTAAAAAGAGAAGAAAGCGGTCTGAAAAATCATCTAAGGATTCGGGCGAAGAAAGAAGAGAGAAGGTAATAATTTGTTTGACAAA